GATTCACAAGGCCATAATTCCAGCCTTTTAAACACAACATCAATAACCTCACACTCTAATACAAAGGGGGGAGGGGGTAAAGTACCTAATGGTTTTCTTGCCTAAAACACATGGACAACTAGGCTTCACCCCCCAGCCACACAGAAAGAAATGAATAAAATACAGCAGACAAATGCATCCTATTCTTAAGTAACAAGTATTCCAAAGCCCCACAACTGCTCATAAAATCTTTTCTACATAGCTCAGTGTGTGTGTGTGTGTGTGTGTGTGTGTGTGTGTGTGTGTGTGCGTGCGCGCACACTTCCCTGTCCAACCATGTGCATGCAGAGACCAGAAAACAACTATGTGTGCCCTTTCTCGGTCATTCACTTTTGTGTCTGAGACAGTCTTTAACCAACCTGACACTTTCCAGGTAGGCTAAGGTAGTTGGATGGTCAATGATCTTCGGGGATCTGCCCGTCTTTGCCTCTTCAGGGCTGGTAGTGTACCAAGCTTTATTTACCTGGTTCTGAGGAGAGAACTAAGGTCTTCATTCGTGTAACTCCCCAACCCTGTTTCCCACATTAAAACAAACAAACAAATAAACAAAAAGAAACAGTATGTGAATATACTTAAAATCTGTTTTACTATATAGCCAGGGTTAACCTAGATTTCTATTTCATCTTGCTCCCACCTTGTGTGTTGGAACTACAAATTGCACCATCACACCCATCTTCTTTGCTACCACTGTTAACTCTTATTTCTAACATGTAACCCCAAGTGTTCTACCCACTTGGGTCTCAGTTCTCTTCCCTCCTCATTCCACTCATTATGTTTTATCCTTCATACACATTTGAGAACCAATATCAAAAATATATTATTTCAGCCCAATCACTCCTAACTAGATACTCCAGACCCTGTTACCATTATAAAGAATTAGCAGATTGGCCCTAGACACAGAACCAGACTGAAGATGGCCTATCTCAAATACAACAAAGCTAAACAAATGACCCCCCCCACCCCACTCCTCCCAGTCAATCTTTACCTGAAACCCAGCCAAGGTCTTTTACATGAAACACAGTTACTCTACTACTGAGGCACATTCTTTAATATACATTTTGTTTTGTATGGTCACAAGACAATCTGAGCTACCTTGAACATTATCCAGCCTGTTTTTGTGGTGTTGTCTGCCACTAGCCCTGGGGAAACATGAACAGCGTCAATGAAATCCAGATAGGGAAACCACAGACCAAATGGATACGACCAAGTTCCATACTGGTAAACCAGTAAGTTTTACTGGGGTTACTTTTAAGAATATGAGTGATGGGGGCCTGTAGAGACGGCTCAGAGGTTAAGAGCACTGGCTGCTCTTCCACAGGTCCTGAGTTCAATTCCCAGCAACCACATGGTGGCTCACAACCATCTCCCAGAGCACTATATACATAATAAATAAATAAATCTTAAAAAAAATAATAATATGGGTGAAAGCCTCCTTACAGGAACAGAAATGACTAAACACAGCTGCACCATTAAAAGCCCACCCCAGTATAGGTGACAGCCCAGAAAGCTGTAAACCTGGAGTACACAGCACATACAAGCTACAGACAGGTAACTCAGCCAGTCTGCGCTTCTTCTAGGCAGCTCAGCTTGTCTGAAAGTGGCTTTCAGCAGGCCTTACTGCTTATATAGGCTTGAGGAGGAAGAGACCTACCTAACCTGATCAGTTTCAGGAAGTTCCTAATGCCTGTGAGTTGTTTATAGGCTTAAAGAGTTTCCCAGCAGGATGAAATGCTTACTTCCCCTGAGAATATTCTGTATCTTGAGGAGCTTCCCACCAAGATGGAAGGTTTTTATCTGAGGAATTTGCCACACAACACATGGTTACACCCAAAAAACCATACAACCTATCTTATTTCTGAACTTATCCTTGCTCACATATCTTACAGCCATCAAATGAACTTTAAATTCACACCCAGAATGGAACATTACTCAGAAAGGCTACCCTGGATCTTAACTGGAGCATCTCCAGAGATCAACAAACTGCATTAAGAACTGACTCTGTGGGTGGCTGTCATGGATCAGATAGGTATGTAATCGTGTGCATAGGTCGGCTTGGCAAAATAGCTAGATCATGAGAGCTAACCCCTCTACAATGAGGTAATCTGTTGATAGATGGTATTGTTAGGAGATGGTGCAAATTTTAGGAGGTATGATTTTACTAGAGGAAGGAAGTCACTAGGAGACAGCCACTAAAGGATATTGCCCTGAAGACTTAGCATCACATTCTCTTCTGGCAACCATGTGGTGAGCAGCTCTGCTCCTCCATACCCTTCCACCACCAATGTTCTACCTACCTCAATTCAGAACAATTTAAAAGATAACCACAAACTAACATCTGTGAAACCATGAGCCCAAATAAATCTCCATGCTGCTCCCATTGTGGTGTGCACGTGCATGTATGCTTGGGCATATAGAGACCATAGGCTGTCAATTAGTGTCTTCCTCACTCTCTGCCTTACTATTTGAGGCTAACTGAATATGGAGACTGCCAATTTGACTACACTGGCCAGCAAGCCCCAGGGGTACTCCAGCCTACATTTGGACCAACAAGTGCCTGGCTTTTACATAGGTGTTGGGGTTCAAACTTGAGTCTGCAACCTTAAGCAGCAGGTACTTTACTGACTAAACCATATCCCTACCCCCAATTCTCCTTTGTAAAGAGTTTGTCTGTGTTAGGTTATTTTGCCATAGTGGTAGAGCATGACATCTAAAGAGAATAAGCAGAAAGCTCTGGAATTTGGTTTCTGTTCCTACAAAAACCAAGGAAACTGGCAATGTAGTTTAACTTACCTGAACTCAGGAGAAGGGAACTAACAGCTGAATTTACAGGCTTGGAGTTCAGAGAGGTGGTTTCAAACTGGAGGTAATTATCCTCCCCTTCCCTGAGGGAGCATTATGTAATGTCTGGAAAGATTTTTGCCATATGAAAGGAAGCACGGTGCTTATGAAATTGTTGGGGGGGTATTATTTTACATGAAGAACTGTCCAGTGCATTGCAGGACATTTTTACAACACTCGGCCTGAATCATGATTCCCTGAATCATGACCATCAACAAAAGTCCTCCAGGGAGCAAAACATCCCTTAGGCCAATCGAGTTGACCCCTCATTTTGTAAGGAATTAGGACGGCTGACCTAGGTGTTAATTATAACTCTTGATTTTGCCTAGCAGGCTAGAGTAACTGGAAGGAAGGAGGTATAGACAAACCATCTTTAACTCAATATTTTCTGAGTCTTATCGACTTGCAGCACAGTGAACAGCAAAAGAGACCCTGTCTCAAATGAGGTAGAACATAAGAACCCACAACCATAATGCCTTCTTTAACCCTAATTCATGGTGCACTATTTTAAATGAATCACAGTATGAAACTCAGCTTTATTCTACCCATTCATATTTGTTCAATATTGTTGCCAAAATGTCAGTTCTGAGTACCAGAATGGACAATCTGCTATTTCTCAATGGTATAGCTCCTAACAAGCCAATTCAGGACATTGGTCCACTTAAAAAGAGAAACATGAGTTAGATTTAAACCTATGCTGGTTTGCATGGGGTGTGGTAATCATTAACAGCTGCTAAGGGCCAAGTCAAGCTTCCTTTTCATCTCTGGTCTTTGAGCAGGCTCTCTGGAAACCACTGTTTCCCATGTGAAAGCACCATACTTAGAAACCTAAACAAGACTAGCATCTGGGCAAAGATGTATTCACATGTGGAACATGATCATTTATCTCCTATTCAGTGTCCTGTCTCCAAATACACACATATCACATTGATTTAACCAGATTTACAAGGGAAAAGTATTTCCTATTTGAGTTTCTAGACTCTTCCATACTTCGTATGGTAGCTTTGGGAGACCTGATACATGTACATGTTTGACACAGCCTTGGTCATCAGTCACACGGGATTAGGAATCCCAAGATTGATCTGGCAGAGGCCATCTTACAGCCTCTGAGATGGCTCTGCTAACTGTGGTCCTATCTTCCTTAGGAAGATCAGATGCCCAGTCCCCATGTTGCTAGCAGTGCTTGCTGTGCCAGACAAGGTCAAAATCATCTTTTCTACAAAAGGAAAGAACAGTGTGGGAACACAAAGGAGAAGGAAGACTGTCTTTAGGGACAGGATCAGCTACAGTTTTCTTTGATGTGGCTCAAAAAGCCTGAGACTCAGGCCTCCAATACCTTTATTTGAGTGTAACTTTTAGAAAGTTTTCCAACTCTGGGCCCCCTTATTGGGAGATGGCAGATTGCAAGGATGAAATAGAATTTTTCAATCTTCAACAAGTTTCAAGTTAGAATTCCTGAAAAGGCTTAAGTAAAAAACAACTAAAATGACTTTCTTACCTCTCTATCCGTGGGGTCCTGCATCCTGATATAAGATCACTGGGGGAAAAAATGTCTCTGGTAGACATGTACACTCTCAAATACTTCCATAAACACTACCATTAACAACTCTGCGGAGCACTTTTCAACACAGACAGTATTAGGAATTGTTAAGACTTCTAGAGTAGAATTAAATCATACAGGCGGATGAGCATGGGGTATATGAACATATCACGTCACTTCACATAAAGATCTCACACACCTGTGGCTGTGGTATCCATGGAATGCTTCCTAAAGCCAACAAGCACCACAGGAGAAGATAAATGTCAACTGTCAGTTTGTGAAGGGATAAACCAGTTTACAAATAATTCAAGACAGAAAAATAAAATAGGGGTCTAGGTGTGTGGCTAGCAAGTGACAAGTGTTAGGTTCCATCAACAACAACAAGAAAAGTAGGGGAAGAATAAAAGAACAGGGAAGGGAGAGGAGGAAAGCCTATTCTCAACAGGAAACAGGAGGAGGTTGGGGTGACCAGAAGGAAAAGAGAAGAGGGAAGAGAAAACATAATAGGGCAGTACTTGTCATTGATTTAATACTTTACATCTAGATGAAGGAAGAGTAAAAATGATTTAAAGCAACCATTCACCTTGTCAGTAGTCCCCTATCTTCCTTAAATTGTAGTTGGCTCTGGGGCAGGGGCCCTCACAGAAGATAAAGTAAGATTCCTGTGAACAAAACAGATTCCTGAGGTCAAAATCACTATCAGTTCTGATTAGGGGAGTCGGTTCTGGATCCACCACCCCAACAGGTAAATGTCAGGCCATGAGCTTATCTATCACTTTTCTCCCCATGATTCCCTTAACAACATATATCTCCCCCCTCCGTTTTTCTCCTCCCCTCCCATTAGTCAAAAAGCATATCAAAATGTCAGGCAAACATTAACAGGCAAAATGTGGCCTATACACATGACAGAAGAGCAGTGTGTAATAAAGGGAAATGAGGTTTAAACACAGACTGCAACATGGATGAACTCAAACAACACATCAGTGAAAGAAGTCTGACCTAAAGAAACAAAACTGCAGGACTCTGGTTATGTATAGTCCTTAAAGTAGAAAAACATAGGTACAGAAGTGGAGAGGTTGACAGGGGTGGGACAATGGGGTAGAGAGTGGCTGCCACTGATTGGGGGAACTCTGCTATAACCTCATTTAAGCATAACTGCGCCCTTTTTTTTGCATGGGGGAGGGGGTGTTCTGTGTGGCTTTGGAAGCTGTCCTGGAACAAGCTCTTGTACACCAGGATGGTCTCAGACTCACAGAGATCCACCTGCCTCTGCCTCCAGCGTACTGGGATTAAAGGCATACATGCACTACCACTGCCTGGCTGTACACTTTTTAAATATATGCTGTGTTAAGTGGATGGACTGTATAGCTCAATTAACATAATTTCTTGATATCTATTGGTTTATATCCCTTTCTGCTTCCAAAGCAGGTACCTCACCTAGTTCTTGGCCAGGGCTTCACAAATTGGCAATGTCTATTGTCCCCTCCACACTCAGCAGGCCAGGCCAGGCCAGGGTCTTGGCTCTCCCCAAGGTGAAATTCCAAAAGATAAACCTTTCTGAAACATGGGAGCCAGTACAGAATACTGTAGGGCATTAATGCTTACTCCTGGCATTTGGCACAGCACCCACTTTTCTTGAAGTCTGCCTTATACACAGGAGGTTTATTTAGAGGCACCCAGAGACAGCCTTAGCACCTCAAAGATGTGACAATCATAAGTATTTGTAGGGCTTGCCAAGATTCCATTGAAGGACACAATGTCCTTCATGAGCGTCATACTCCTAAGAAGCCTCATAGGCCTATAGGCCAAAGTCCTAGTATTCTGCCCTATCTGAAACCAAGTGAAAACTGACTTCCCATTTATTTTTATTTATCTATCCATTCATTCACTCACTCGTTTTTTAATAAAAAAAAAAAACTTAGTTGAAAGGGCCATAATTTGTGTAACTTAAAGAACAAAGTTTTTCCCCAAACCTAGTATTTATTCTATAACATCTGACAAGCTACTTCTTTTTTTTTTTTTTCTTTTATTGAAAATGGATTCTTTCTCCCCCATGACAGCTCCCCTTACCAGCAGGAAAGAACAACGCCCAAATTCCCAAATATTTCCTATAAATGTTTGTTTTCATTTAAATGGACTTGGTTATATAAAATAAATAAATAAACAAAAGAAAATGGATTCTTTCTTACACAATGGATCCTGATTACATTTTCCCCTCCCTCTACTCCTGCCAGTAGATCCCCTCTGGATCTACTTCCTTTCTGCCTCTTATTAGAAAAGAACAGGCTTCTGAGAGATAACAACAAAGCATAACAAAACAAACATCATATTGGAGTTGAATATGACAACCAAACAGGAGGTTGACAAAAGAATCAAAGACCCACCCACTCTCATAGCCAGGGTTCCCATAAAAATACTAAGCTGAAAGCTTATATGCAGAGGAGCTGGTGTAGACCCATGTAGACCTTTGCTTGCAGCTTCAGTCTCTATGAGTTCATATGCACCTTGTTTAGTTGATTCAGAGGACCATGTTCTCCTGGTGTCCTCCATCACCTCTGGCTCATACAATCTCGGCAGGATTCCATGACTTGTCACTCACCCATTTTTAAGACAGTGTCTCCAATAACCCTGACTAGCCTCCCTCTGAGGCTGGCTTTGAATTACTGTTCCTCTGCCTCCGCCTCCTCAAGAGCTGGAACTAAGACATATGGCACCAAGCCCAGGCTTCTGTTCCCTTTTTAATTCAAGAAACACAATAAATCATCCACATACGGACCATAAGAAGAGAATGTACAGATAGACAAGGAAATTGGATTCACTAAGATGAACTTTGGAGAAGGTAAAACGAAATTACTTATAAATAAATACAGCATATGAAAAAGTTGTTTGTTTTTTTTTTTTTTTTTTTTTTAAGATCTGGCTCGGTTATGGGCAATCTCTAGACACCTGGGTGTTGTGACTATTCATGAGTCTTCATTTCTCAAACAGCTATAACAAGACAAACACTCACAGGGACTTAAAGCAGATAGGGTAAAGGACTCAAAAGAGGGCCCAGTGGTTAATAGCACACTACTGCAACATTCAGTTCCCAGAACCCACATGAGGTGGCTCACAACCACCTGCAACCCAATGCCATCTTTTGGATTCCACTGGCAGCAGCATACACAGGCACATACCCACGTATAGGCAATACACATATATAGCATATATTTGTTTTTAGCAGTAGGGTTAGGGAGAGCAGAAAGATGTAAGTGTGGTGTGGGCACACATGTGGAGCTAAGTGCACATAAAGACTAGAGAAAGAGTCCAGAAGGAGGATGTGAATGTGGTGAATACCAAGTGTAGAGCTATGTGTACAGAAAAACCACAGAAAGATTCCAGGTGACTTATTCTCTCCTTTACTCCCTTGAGACAGAATCTCTCAGTGAACCTAGAGCTAGGATAGCAGCCAGCAAGACCCCAAATCCTCCTGTCTCTAACTACCACAGCACCAGGGTACAGCCATGCACAACCATGCTTAGCTTTTTACATGGATATTAGAATCAAAATTCAGTTTGCATGCTTGTACATTAGCCTTGCATAATTACCCATCTTCCAAGACCCTAAGGAGGGCTTTTATCGTTTTTAATTAAATTTTCCTCATTTATTTTGTAGGGGAGGAGGGAGTATGCATGTGTGAATGAAAGAACAATTTTCAGGACTAGGTTCTCTCCTTCCACCATGTGGGTCCCAGAATTCAGGTCTTCCTTCAGGTTTAGCAATAGGTGCCTTTACCTAGTAAGCCAGCTTTCTGGACCCTAGACAGACCCTAAAGGTTCTTAGCATACATCAAAACTACAAACATGGGTGAGGAGATTCTAGCTCTTGCCTTGTAAGCATGAGGACCTAAGTCCCATTCAATGTGTCCCCTTGGAAAGCACCAAGCCAATGAGACCCTGTCATTTCTTAGCAAGTTTATCCTCTGGCCTCAAAAATGCACATGCACATGTGTACCTGCACACACATGAATATGCACACCCATGTATACATATAGGAAAAGAAACAGGAACATATGGCTCATGAACCTTCTTAAAGCATTTTCTAATGGTGTATCTCCTTCAAGTGTTACCTTCCTATTCCTTTTCTCCATCAAGGTGATTGAGAACACTCCAAATCCAATATGAAAGAGATACTTCTATGCCTATGACATGCTCAAATGAGCAGGCTATTGTGCTGGAGAAACTACTACCTATTAAACAGCAAATAACTCATGCCATGCACTTAGCTTTTAGCTGCTGCACAACATGCCCAGTGAAACAAAGAGTTTCCTGAGCACTGACACACAAAGATTCCTGATACAGAGTGTGCAAACCTGGGACTCCCCCAACACTGATGTTGCCCTTGTGCCTTGTAAAGGATAAAGTCACCTACATGTCAGCCATTGCTTCCTGATCGTTTCCTCCTTAGGACTCTTAAGGAGAAACTAGATCAGGTTTTATAGTCCTTTTCTTGCATGCAGAAACAATCTGTGCTACCAACAAGCAGACTCTTTCCTGATACAAGAACATTCAGAGAAAAACATTTGATTAAATGCTGGGGCTTTCTAACCAGTCAACTCCCCCCCCCCCCGACAACTTTGTATTATTTTAAAAAAGTCAAATTTGCCAGGTGGTGGCACACATCTTTAATCCCAGCACTCAGGAGGGCATAGGTAGGTGGCTGTGAGTTCAAGGCCAGTGTGGTCTACAGATTGAATTCCAGGACAGCTAAGACTGTTATACAGAGACACCCCATCTCAAAAAAAAGTCAAATTCTTGATTTTGGAAGAAAGTATCTACACCTGTAAGGAACACACACCACCACTGGTGTTTGCTTCAAGGAATTGCACATTCAATAATGTTCACATCTCCTGGGAAGTTGTGGTTTTTCCAGAAAGCTTATTTTCTGAATGATTCCAATTTAAATTCTCACATAACCATCTTACTACCTGGCTGACATATTTGTCATATGCTACATTACAGTTTTTGCCAAACAGTACACTAATGGGCTTCATTTCTAAGCACTGTGGTTTCTTCTAGTATAATTATTATCAGAGTTGTCTGTTTGGCAAGGTGTCCTGCCTTCATCAGGAGGAGAAACACTACAATAATGTGCAATATCTCAAAGAAACCGAAGAATCAGTCTGACAATGCCAGCAGCATTCTCCTTGCCAAGGCCAACCCTGTCTTCTGTCACAGAAGTTCTAGTTGTACTAGTGCACAGGGAGTCACTTGTTTTATTACAGTGCCTAGTTCTACATGGCATTAACAAAGCACTGTTTTAGCTCTCTGGATCTGTTCACTCTGTTCGTGCCAGCTTGGCTCAATTGGGAATGTCAATCCCAACACCTAGGCCTGCATGCATTATTAATAACCACATCTACAACTTGTGTCTCTCCAGAGGCCAAAGCCTCCTCCAGGGTGCATGAACAGCAGGGGATGGGGATTACCAATAGGAACTTCAAAACTTCTCTTTTAGAATTTAACAAGTCAAAGTCTCTTTGTCATGACCCAATTAATTGTTTAGTCAGAGATTGCCCAGACTGGTATACCATATTGACTTTCCTGTTGCTCTCTAAGTCAAGTTTGTTAAAGAAACTGACAAGAGCACACAGGTGTGTCTAGCCATCCCTTTTTACTTGGCC